TCTCCACTTCCTCTTTCAGCTCTGCCACCATTGTGAAGGTGCAGCCTGGCACCAGTGATGGATGGGCTGCCACGCACTGACGCGCTGTTCGGAAGAAAAACGAAGATGGGAACATCTACAGGTTAGAAGCTGATGGAGAGAAACGCTACAGCTGGGACGTGCACTGCGCTTCCCTCACTCCAGCCACCAGCTATCACAGTGCTGTTGCCTCTCCTCGGCAACACACCAGCTCAGAGCTAAGGTACATAGGGCTTTGGGGAGCCAGGGGCTCCAGGAGGGAGTTATGCTGACACAGGGCATCCCATACCCCAAAGGAAGCACAAAAAACGTTCCTCTCCCTAGCTCCCGCACGGTGAAGAAACTAGGGAAAAAAGATCCTATGTCTTCTCACACTCTCATTCCCCTAAAGTCACAGCGTGCAAGAGACTACCTCTTCCCCACAAATGACACACTGGCCCCTCTTCCAAGACTTAATAATATTGTGACTTAAGCACTTTAATACATCTATTAACAATGTTAAATGATTCCCCTGACATCAGTCACTGATGGTGACTCACTGCGGCAGAAGAACACTGTGAGAACACATTCCACCAAGCAAGCTCCCTTTAGGAAGACTCAGTTTCTTTCAAATAGTGCTAAGCAGCAGAAATAGATATAATTCTCAGGTGAAAAATATAATTACTGAAGAAACAGTCTAAGACCATCCTAAAACATTCCTGAAAGGAAGCAGTCTGCTGTTTCCATGTTTTAATTTATATGTTTGTCTAATTTTGTAAACTGGGGCTAAAAAAGGTTAAAAAGCTTGAAACAAAAGTGCTTCACTTGACCCATAACCATGGGGGTTTTTTTTACCTTTTCCATGTTACTAGCAGCAACAGCGATTTGAACTGCTGCTCTTCCTCCACAAGTAACCAGCAGCTCACAGAGGGCTACCTGACTTTCTGCTGGTGTAAATATGGCCAAACCAGATCCTTGCACAGAGTCTGTATTCATTTTAATTGCAGAGCATTGCACACATACTTACGGTAAGTTATTCTAATAAAGTGATTAGAATCACTGTGGTCCATGCTATAAAGACCTTAGATTCAGGGATACAGGTCCCTCTGAAAATTCACACCCTCTATTTACAACAGCCTATCTTCATATAGCTGTTCTGAGCACAAGGATATTAGCAGTTCATGGCCATTTAATAAACCATTTTCACATATCTTCTTGAAATTAAGACACTCATATTTTACGACAGCCATAACTTACCCATTCTTTCTATTAATTTTATAGGAAATGATTTTATAGATTTTTATAAGCATCAGGTAGAAGCTCAACATTCAGGATACACCTTTTATACAGGTGCACTCAGTTGTTTCTGCCACCTTCAGTTCCAACAGGATTATTTGCTGCATGAGTTGTTGAGAGATACCTGATCTGAAGACCAACATGACTTTTCAGATTTCTGCCAAGCTGCATTATATTTTTAATACTTTCTCTTGCCCTTCAAGTCCACTTTTGACAATATGCAGTTGCTGTTTCTGTGCCATCTCACGGTTTATATTACGTTACACATGCAATGCATAGACATCCACTCAATAAGGTGCTAACATAGGAAGCCACTCCTTAATAAAATATTCAAAATACATCTATTGGAACTAGATAACTAGCTAGTTATCAAATAAGCTATTGAGATATGACTCCAAATAAGCTTGTCTTATTGCCTTGTTTTCTTAAAGCTAATAATAGTATTACCAAAATGTCTAAGCATATCTTTTGGAAAGGAACAATATAAATAAAATTCCCAGTAGAGGAGAAGGAGGCAAATTTGCATTGTACACACAGAGTATATTTATCTGTACAGCTTTTATTGTTAATGTTGTTAATGTTTTTGCTGGTTTTCAAAGCTTTCTCTGCTTGAAGGATATTTTTTGTCAAAATTTGGGGTTGAAGATACTGTTCTATTCTTACAGTAAAATTAACTCAATTTCTTCAAAGAAAGCTTTTGAAGTGTTTCTTATATATGGTAGAAGTACAGATTGATGACACAATGATCCTCTTCACTGTTCTTATGATCACCAGCTGTTAACCTATTTTTATAATAGAATGGTTTGGGTTGGAAGGGACCTCAAAGATCACCTAGTTCCAACCCCCTGCAGTGAGCAGAGATATCTTCCGCTAGACCAGGTTGCTCAAAGCCCCGTCTAGCCTGGCCTTGAACACTTCCAGGAATAGGGCATCCACTGCTTCTCTGGGCAACCTGTTTCAGTGCCTCACCACCCTCATCATTCTTATATCTAATGTATGATAATAGTATCATACATTAGATATAAGAATTTCTTCCTTATATCTAATGTAAATCTACCCTCTTTCCATTTAAAGCCATTACTCCTTGTCCTATCATTACACGCCTTTGTAAAAAGTCCCTCTCCAGCTTTCCTGTAGGGCCCCTTTAGGTACTGGAACTTCACCACTCCAAGAAATGCTTTTGCAAAATGTGAATGCTGCTGGTGAGATCCTTCTACATGAGGAGACTTCTCCTTACAAATTTTCACTCAGGCCATAGATGAGCATCTCCCAGGTACCTTTATTTTTTTATACCCCTGAGAGCCTCAGCAATACTCCCCCTAAGGCCTTTGGTGTGTTCCTCAATACCATGGGATGCCACTACTGTATATAGAGCCCAAGATACGTGCTCAGAAATGGTTTTCCTATGTCAGATGCAATCTCAGGTATCTTCGCTTTCAGATTCAGATAGAAAGAATAAAAAGACCATTTTTCTGACTGCAGCAAATACACAGACCAATATCACAATGTCAAGGAGGAAAGGATGGAGCTTCCAAAGCGGAAGATGGTATTTGGAGCTCTCTTGCCCTGTGTGTCTCTAGAAGCATGAATGAGGAACACCCTTGACTCAGCCTTGCTACTCTGACTACTTGTATCCTTTAGACATCCACGATCAGGACCTGCTATGCATCAGGTAAGTCGTCATGCTGGATGAACTGTGGGCTCAGTGCCAAATTATGCCCCAAGAAATACTAAAGAAGGACCAAAAAAATACAGTGAAATTCTATTCCTTCAAGTGTAATAAGGAAGAGGATGCTTTGGCCACTTTCAGACTGAGCACTGGAAGGTGTGACAGAGCATGGGAAATCCCATTCCTTGACCTGTAGAAGGAAAACAGCTTGTCCTGTCAGACTGCACCAGTGATTTCATCCTCACTGTAGGATCACTTCTTGTCTGATGCACCTCTGCTCTATGAACAATCGAGAAGATTCTCAACAGATAAATTAATATGGAATAATACAAATTTCTCACAGATGTATTTTTTATAAGTATGGTACGCATACTATGGTTGTGAAGGGCAAGAAAGTAGAACATTCACCCAACTATTTTATACTTCTCATACCATGTATTTTAGCTAGTCATTGCTTCAGTATAGAGCATCAAGAAAAAACAATACACGTATATGGACTTGATCCTCATGCAATTGTACACATTTACAATTTTTAAATCTAATATGTCTACTGGGCTCATCTTTGATACACCTACCAATAAAACCTGAAGAAGGAGGGTTGGGCTGTATCTTCTCTTTAGTGTTCTCCTGAATGATGTCCCAGAGCTGCCATATAAACTTTGGATGGAGAATGTAAAATGGCTGGTTTGGATTCTTCCTGCGATGCTGTATGTAGGGAGTGAACAGATTGTAGTCTGGCTTCTTATACCACTGAGAGGAAAAAAAGTAAGAATTTTTATAATCTTACGTGTTTTGAAGACATTTTGTTGTTGTTGTTTTTGTTTATAATCAATGTGTTTTGAACAATACATGTCAAATCATGTGAACTAGTTTCATTCAAGTTCTCAGAACGGAAGCGAAGGTAGCAAAGCAGCCTGCACTGGTGGGTGCTGTCCTCACCGTGCATTACTCTGCTTCCTCTCTTCATACAGAGACTCCCAATAAGCAATTCACCGCAGCGTGATGCGCCAACCCCACCTCCGACTCCCAGGCGGTAAGTAAGGGGTTCAAAGAGCCCCGACAGAAGACCGAGGCGCTGGGGTGACCCTTCCTCTGGAAGTACCCCCATCGCCGGCAGCGGCAGCGCATGCAGCAGCCGAGCCAGCCGCTGGCGTCCCTTGCTAAGGGAGTTCAGCAGATGAAGGTTGATGAAGGTTTGCTTCCTACTTCGCAGCCCGCTCAGCTCCGAGCTCCCTCTGCCAAGAACCATCAGATCAGCTGTCCTCTGGAGCTGCAGCACCCGCCAAAGCAGGGACCACCCCCCAGTGACAAGCAGATGGACGCCTGCTGCTCTAGCAAGGGGGTGGGCAGCGGGGCACAGATGGCTGTGGGGGAGTGGACACAGAGGGAAGACTGGTGGGGGGGAGGCCTGAGAAATGGGGAAGGCAGCAAGAGAGATTTTTCATTAGGGTGTTTTATTTTGTCTGTGAAGGCAGAGGGGAAGGTGGGAAAAAATGGGCACAATTCTTCACCTTTACTGATAAAACCTCCTTCAGAAATCTAGCAATGTTCCCTCCTTGGAAACACACAGAAAACTCACTGTTATGTGAAAATAGCAATATTACATTAAAAAGAGCCATCATCCATCTATCCTAGCATCTCAGAGCATCTCAGTACAAGTGCTGGCTACTAAAAAGCCTTTGACCAATAAACCAGTTTTGACCAATTCATGCAGAAATAGCATTCCCCACTCCTTCGATAAAGTAAGACTTTGGGGTTCACTGTGACAAGTGGGAACCAGGAGACTGAAGTACCAAATACATTCATTTTCTCCAGTGCTTTCAGACCAGTTGGGAAGAAAGGACCAAGCTGACACCTTACCACGTTCAGGTTTGCAGAGTAGGGGGCAGGATCCCAGGCTACTAAGATAACATCCTTGTACAAGGAGCTGTCAACAAAATGATGGTTTGGGTTGGTGAGAATCTGCAAACACAAATGCAAAGAATTGCAAAGCGTTAAAAGCAAGTGGGATCCAGAAAAATGGCAAAATCCTTCTCTAAAATGAACAGTCCTCCCTATGCTGCTGTTTGTTCTGCTTTAATTCTGGTCGATTTTAAGCATCTTGTTTTGTTTAAAAAATACATATAAAAAAAGAGCTTAGCCATAAACAGCACTCATGACAGTTTGAAGTAGCAGTATGCTGAATTACTCTCCATCTGTAAGGGGTGTGATGGGACCGCTTGAGATGCTGCATAATTGTATATCAACGTTACTGTGTACTCTGGAACTTGAAAACGAAAGCTACAGTATTTCAGACTGCCTGCAGGATCCTCCTCCTAGACACAGAGCAGCTTTCTTTGAAGGGCTACAAGCCTCCAAGGATAATGTCTTCCCCCACTGCCTTTTGGTTGCTTTCTCACTTCAACAGCAAGACAGTCTCATTTCAAGCAACTCCAAAAAGGCAAATTACAGACCATGACTGTAAAAGCTGGTATACCCAGAAAAATAATTCCAGTAACAGGCATGTGACAGGGCTATTTTTGAAGTAACTTTCATATTGCTCTGATCAACTGCTCTCACGTAACTGCCTCCCGCATCTCCTGGTACTCTGGCTGATCCTCTGCCCCACTGGAAGTTTACTTTTCATTCCTGGGGGCTCATCCCTTCCCAGACCCTCCACACCTAACCAGATCTCTGTGATCCCTGGTGTATCCAATCTCAGGCAGGATTGAGCTGAATGATTTCAGCACTGGTTGAAACAGCATGAATTCGGCTCCAGCTGTTAAACTAATCAACATTTTAGACAAATAAATTCATACTAATTTTCATTTCCCTTTAGGATCCAATGAGCCATATTTGATTATGCATATTTTTCTTCAGAAAAATAATATTGTTGCCATAGCAATATTCTTCCTACCATAAACTTTGAGCTTAATGACTTCCCATCGGCCTTCTACAACAAGAACAGAATTAGTCGCGCTGCCATCAGCATCCGTAGCAATAATTCTCAGAGCAGTTTTTGCCTGAGAACATAAACTCCTTTTTGGAGAGTACAGAGTAAACAGACCAAAAGGTCAAGCTTTTAAAAACTCTGTTCTACAGTTATCACACAAAGGAGCTCTTACTTGCCTTTCAGTAAGCAAGAGTCCCTTGGAGGTGTTATCCACAGAAATTTCACTCTTAGTGAGCTTGCATTCATATGTATGAGATGAGTTTCTTCTGGAATAACAACATCTGTTGTGGCTGCATTGGCTTCCTTCATGTCCTTTGAGCTTTCACAGCGAAGAACATGAGGGAAGACGACGGCCACAGCAGCCTTTTTAATCAACTGAATGGAGGAATTTCCAACAGTGAGGAGGGAAGGAGGGTCAGTAAACCTGTATGGGTAACCCATCTTCAGCACTGGCAGGGAAAGCAACTTTTATCAAGTGGGCCGGGCAGACTTCTCTCCCAGGGAGGGGAAGGCCAGTTTCTCAGTAGGTGGCTAGAGCATCGCGGGTGGCTTCTGACCTCTTTGAAGGAACAGAAAGGTGGTGAGAATATGAACATTTGTGAGGAAGCTGTGTGAGCTGATCTGGCCTGAATTTTAGCCATGCCCTGTGTTTTCTTGAGAAGCCTTGTGGAGAGCAAGCAACATAGGGTGCAGCAGAGGAGACCATGGGACCCCTCCATTACCACCCTGGTGGGAGTGTATGGCAGCAGCTCTGAGAACCAGGAGGACCCCAGCCTGCTGCGAGCAGCAGAGAGCAGCTAATTTGCCCCTTTAGTCTCTCTGAATTCGCTGCGGAGCTAACAAAGCTCAGATCACTCCCTGGAGGCATTTCACTCTTCTCCTACGGGGAACCTACTGAAACTGGTCCCCTAAATAAAGTTTGTAAACCCTCCTCCTTGCCCAGCACAGGAGTTCAGGCATGGTCAGCAACCAGGGTGTTTGGGCTAATGGTAAAACAAGGAACAGTCGGGGTTTGGGGGAAAGGAACAAATAAAATAAATGACATTAAGGTCAATGTTCTCCAACACACTGATTTCAGCACTAAAGCCAGAGGAAGATATTTCTGCTTTCTTCCCTTTGAGAAAAAGAAAGGGGTCATATTTATCACAGATAACTTCAAAAATCTGTCCTGTGGCCTCACAAAGAGCTACAAAATGAGTGGGAAGGGAATGACAGTGAACAGTCCTCTATGTAGTGGCAAAGAACATGAACTTATACACACATCCTGCCCACCAAGGACGGACTTTGCATGGGCAGTCACTCAAAGACAAAGAAGAAAAAAATAATTTATAAGAATGACAGTAAATGAAAATTTTGCTCTCACTCAGCAAGAATCACTATGTACACAGCATGCTACATGGCCAACCATACTACTGGTGTTGACTAAGTAAACTCACCATTTCAATACGTCACAAAATTTCACAGTAATTCTGTTGCTGCTTTTTGGCTGCATTTCATAAAGAGGAAAGAGGCTTGGTTTGCCCAATACCAGGGCTCAGGCAATGGTTTTTTCAAAATTGAAGAACTACTCTCAACCATAAGGTGTCACTATAGCTCAATGCACAACTATTTGTTGACATCCATATGCAGAAAATCCCATTTTCTGCTTCCATTCATATGAACAAACTCACCTTATGTGTAATATCCAGTGTACATTAAAGTTTTCTACTAGTTCATTCCAGATTTTTAAAGAACGATGACTTGCCTGAAGTTATGTATTACAACAACTCAGTTCCCATTTCTTTCACCTTCCAGCAAGGAAATAATTGGGGAACTGGAGAATATGAGAAAAGAGCTTTGGGATCCCACAGCCCAGGCTTTGTGAAGATCCTGGAGGCAGTGTAGTGAAGGTCTTCTGTACTAATGGCTCTGGCATCCTGCAGAGCCTTTACAGATGTAGGACACATGAGAAACTTCACAAACCAGTTCTTTGACACGAGGGTATCAAGTAACTACTGCAATCACTCTACACTGACAGCAGCGTGAACCATCCCTGTAAGGGAGAATTTATACCTGCTCTACATCATGACTGTTAAATCACTAGCTGTTTCCCAGATTACCCAACACTTTCTCAGAAGTTACGAATGTAATGTCATATCTTACAGAAGTGACATTGACTTGAATTCACAAAAGGAAGATCTTACCTGAGAGTTAATGATCCTCATAGTTGTTTTATTTCCAACATCTTTTTCATAGCCATGTGTTGGAGCAGAATTAAATCTTAGAACAGCATCATGAGAATCTAGGAGCACAAATGAGGGTGTAATTTTTATTTTTCTTAGTAATATAGCACATATAAAACAAATTATCTAAACTAACATAAAACTTACATATTTCTCCAAATCTTGATATTCTAAGGACAATAAACATTCTACTATGCACAAACAAAAATCTTCTTGCATCTGCCACACGTTATTAAAATACACCAGAAAAAAAGTTCAGAAGAATCGATTAATTTAGCTTGCAATACTTAAATATTTCTATTAATTGGATAAACTTGGTGTGGGAAGTTTATTAGTACATTCAGTACACACTGTTGCTCACTATTTCTATAGCAAAATGTACAAAGAATTACTCCATGCAAAAGCATGCTAATTGCAAGGATATCTAATTGCACATTTGAATGAATAATAATGCTTAACTATAAGCTTGTGCTTCACAGTATTTTATACTACCTGAAAATCTCAGACTACCCCTAACCTATTAATCATACTTTGTACTTATTCTCGAGGTCAGTAAAACTCTTAAAGACTCTGTGAAGTCAGCCCACAAACCTGCTCATACACAGAAATTTGAGGATCCCTTGGCAGCAAAGATCTAACAGAGCTGAACTGTCAAAAGTTGCCCCACAAGCTGTTGACCTCAGAGTCATAGAGAATAGAAAGCAGCTATAGGTCAAGTAATGGGTCAAGGGTAGACACTATGTGCAAGCCTCCGTTGGATAGAAGATAATCACCCTCCCAGTGCTTCTTTTACGGGGCTCTCAAAGCCCAAAAGGTATGAAGGAGAGTAAGACACTATATCCATTGCCCAGAAACACATAGCCCCCTGTTTGGTCTACTTTTATCCCTTTTATCCACTTTTATCAGTGGAAGCAGAGAATATGATTCAGGCCAAAATGCGCATGAAATGCCTTAAACCACATGTAGCTTATACAGCTGTTTTTCTCTAGTCACTTAAAATGTGGTTGTCTGTAGCTCAAAAACAGAGGAGGCAGAAGTTTCCAAAGATAACCAACATGCTTCAGTGGAGTTCAGGCCTGATCCTATCAAACTGGGATCTTCCATCCTTTTACACCTTTACTCCACACTTGTACTCCAGACAAGAAAATGTGTGACATGAAGCCAGCAGACCAATCTTAGCCATACTTGATTGCTTTATCATGTTGTGTCTGAAAAGAGATATTTTTGCCAAATGTCCACCGAGCCCAACTCCTCAGAAGCTAAGAAGGAATGGAGGCTTTTTCGATATCCCCATGCAGGGACAACCCTAGCCTCAACACCTAGCCTTCACCTGCCTAAACATAAGCATCTGGATTGCGTAGGAGCTAGAGGACATGAAGTCAACAGAAGCTGCAGGTACTCCACATTTCTGTAGAAGGAAAAATAAAAAAAAAAGGTCCTTTATACTTGAACATGTTAAGAACATAAATTTGGACCTGCATATGACAACTTTTTCACAAGCTATTGACTGAGAACTGGGAATCGGATTGGGAAATAGGAATTGTATGGTTCGTAACTTGAGAGACAGTGTGCTGCATTTCCAACATTATTCATGCTGGTTCTTCATATCAAGAGTAAACACCTTTCCTTCACCATAAAATATATGATCAGGACACAGCCTAACACTGATTAACAGCTGGTTTTAAGTCAACTGACTTTAACCTTAATAAGTAGTTGGAGATAACCATTTAAAAGATATAAAAAGTTTGGGTTTTGTTAGCAGACCCCCTTCTGATGATGCCAAAATGGTTGGGTCTCCCATTAAATAGCATGATCACGATGGGAGTGTTTGCTGTACTTGCGCCGTATTTCCGCACCTAGCTTCATTCAAAAACAATTGGAAGGGTGGGAGGAAGGAGGGCAAAAGGCAGAACACAAATTAACATTTCTCTCTGCGTTTCTAATAGGAGCACAGAAGAGGGAGCTAAAGGCCCATGAAGAGAAAGGTCATCTGTTGTTGCCCTCAAGCCTTTTTTTCTTTCGGGAGGATAAATAGTACAAAGCCTTTAGCCTGCAGCAACTTCATCAACCAAGGCTGTACAGCCCATGGCCCAAAAACAGGAACTCATGCATGGGGTATTCTCCTCTGCTCCCTAATGATGCCGACTTTGCCGCGTCTCTCTGGAGACGGAGCTTCTCAGCACGGGTGCCAGCCTGACTCCATGGAGGAGCACCACTGGCCACCCAAGATGCCTCAAAATGGCAGGTTTGCTTGCACTTTCAACCAAGCGCTGGCAGCCCTGGGGCCAGCTCTGGGAGAGGACAGTCCTCTCGTACCGCTGTGCATGCACAGGGAAAAAGAGCATCTTGTACAGTCTGATCTTCCCCTTCCTGGTCAGACTCTTCTCACTTTCTCAAGGACTGGAAAGGAGGTAGAAAGGCATGGCCAACACCTCAGCTGCAGGGAAGCATAACTTCTTCCCCATGGAAATAATAATAATAATACAAACAGATGCTGAGGCTTCCATTTTCCATTGTAAGTGGGAAACACTGGCACAATGTCTCCAGTATATTAACACTTCCCAGGAGTCACAGTGACCACCAAGACCCGTAGATTTGCACCACCCTTTTCAGGTGGCTCGCAGGAGTCAGTTGGTCCCCCACAGTTCTGGGCCAAAATCTCTGATCACTCACAAGTACCTGCCCATGGCCTGGAAGACACTTAGAAAAAAAACTTCTGTGCCTCCTGCTGCCCCACACGCTTTCCTGTGTAACAGACAGGAGAAGATCTGAAGCTTCAGTGTAGGCCCTACCAAACAGCATCTCCTCCCTTTAGGCAGCATCAGGTGACAATTTCAGGATTAAATCAGCAGCTCTTCCCCAGAGAATGGCATAAGCCTTCTGTCCAAGGGTGTTCCCGAGAGAACGGGTACACAGAGGAGCATATGAGCCCCAGGTACCATGCCAAAATCCACACCTGGGCTTCACCTGTGCGTGCAAATATGCCACGATGCACACTGTAATATATAAATGTGCAAGTATGTCACAGTGTGCTAAGGATTCTCCAGTACAGCAGCATAAACTGGATGTACTGGTGTAAACTGGGTGTACCCGGGAACACTGACAGAAGACGATTTTGTTCCAGCCAAGGATAACACACTGGAGAAGGGAGTAACTGTTAAGCTATTTCACTCCAAAGATTTCTGTATCAGTGGGGCTTCCTGTGAAACTGGGGGTGACTCTGGCGTGATTTTTGCTGCTGGGCACCTGTGCTGTGCTGGAAGCTTATTAGAATAGTTTGATAATGACGGCAGCTCTAATATATCCCAGAGATTTAAAGAAAACCCATCTGTGTCGAAGAGATGATACAGTGCGATGAAGCAGGTATTAGGATGTGAAGTCCTGGAAGATGGCAGGATCAATGAGTGCACATCAAAAGGTTTTTACAGAGAGCTGAAGGAGGTAACTCTTCTTGCTCCAGAAGCAAGTTCGAGACATACATTTCATCCTTCTTTCAGCACTCTTAGCATACTACATGTGTACTACTAAAATGGAGAACTACTGAGACATTAACTCGTTTTTGAAAAGAGAACTTAAAACTGACCTGTGTTAGTTTTACAGCTCCACAATCCTCTTCCGAATAGCTACCACAAAACTCCCACCTTGAAGTGGGCAATTCTGTGTGACGCCGACATCTCAGCACACCTGTAACCCCACTGACTCAGTGCAGCAATGGAGAAAATCAATGGGAGGAGATAGATACCTGAACTGATTTAAATCCACTCTTGGAAAAGAGGTCATGGGACTTGACCTCAGCACACGAGGCTGCTCAAGGGTCTGAATTCTATATGTCTGTGAACACTAAATGTGCAGGAGGTGAAGAGGATGCTCTACAAAGTTTGGTTTGGGATAGCAACAGCACAAGCAGTTTCTTTATGAGCCATCACAAAATACAGACAGGTACAACACAGCTTTGCAAAATAAAACCTGAACATGGCTCTAATCTGCTGGAGAAATACACACACACTGCAGCAAAATGTCAAAGATGGCAGATCTGATGAAACCAGTGCCTCCTTTATAGTACAAGCTGTAATATGATAAGAAGGCATCATTCTTTTCTTTAAACCAAATTATGACTTCAGGCCTGATTTTCCTTTCAGTTATATTGTCCTGAAAGGGAAGAGCTTCACTGAAGTCCATAAGCTCATGTAATGCTGGTGAGAACAACCAGGCTTTAGAGACCTATGCTTGAGAAGAATGAACCTTCTGAAAGACAAACATGAACACATACATGTACATATCTGTTGCACATAAATAGATGCATGTCACCCACCTATTTCATCCCCTAGAGAAGAATTCAGTATTGCACCAGCAGACATAACTACGGCACAGCTTCCAAAGCCATGTGTATACAATTTGCCCAGTGGAATTTGGGGAACGTGCTTTTCCCATCCAAGAGTGGAGAAGGGAGCCTCCTTGCCATCTATTGTTTTCACATTCACCCTTTCTTTTAGCTCGCAGAATAGCTGGTCTCCTGTCAACTTGGAGTTTCGTTTCCCCTTGAACCGCACCCCATGCTTATTGGTGCTCAAATAATCTTTCATCGCCTTCTGCAGTCGAGGGTTTAGCATCTTGGAAGAGACATCCCCTTTCCAAAGCTTGTAAAGAAAGGATTTCGACATTGTGGAATATAGCCCATCCCAGTCATCAGATTCATCAAGCATCTGGCTTCTCCGGTGCTTTGTGCTCCTTCTCCTCATTCTTCTCTGGTGGCTCCAGTTGTTGTGTAAAATATTTACTTTTGGATTATCCTCATCGGCTGAGATGAATTTTGCTATTTGTTGAAGATGGTTGTGTGACCGAGGCTGACCAGCAGCAAATAAATAATCGTCATTCACTTGGTAGAAAGCGCTTTTTGATTTTCTTCCTATCTGGGATGGAAAAAACTCATCTTCACTTCTAAAGGCATCTTCCACATCCGTCCATTTCTTAATACTTCCCGTCCCCGATTTAAATGTACCTAAGAGATCTTCATTAAGAAGTACCTCATTCCCATCAATGGTTTCAGAGAATGATGGATCGTGTATGGCTCCCATGATGACTCTCTGCTTGCCCTGAAGGGGCAGAAGCCTCTTAGTTTCAATGTATGAAAAGGAACAAAAAAAAAAGCAGTGTTGCTATCTGTAAAATAGATGAATATCACCAGAAAAAGCAGACCCCATGCGAAGATCCCGAACAGCATGAGTTGTTTCCATTGCTTCAAGTTAGGTTTCATGGCAATGCCTTTACCAGCTCCTCTGTGCCTTGAAGTATTGGTGAAGGAAAACGAAACCTGGAAAGAACATCAAATATTAATCAAGAACGGTTTTAAAAATAGATACAATCCAGAAATATCCTAACATGCTTTGCTAGAAGGTGCAGAATTAGCCTCCGAGCTGTAGCACGGAGGATTCAGAAGCAGAAACAAACTCCAGAGCCTGCAGCCACTGCAGGAGTGACACGCTTTGGCGGTAACCACGCAGCGACAGCTGCTAGCTAGGAAAGAAGCCGGTGGCCAGTTTCTACAGTAACACTGGATCCTGCCTTCGGGGAGATCATGTGCCTGCCTGCTTCTGCTACACGGAGCGTAGCGTTCCAGAGAGCAAGAGCAAAACCCGTGCCCAGCTGTATTATGCACAGCGGGGACGGTATCAGCTGTCTTCTCTTTTGCCACTGGAAGTCCTCACGCAGTGGGACGGCAAGCAAGCCTGTCCCCAAAGGGACCAGGCAGGGAGCACAGCCTCCCAGCGGGACAGCCCTCCTCTGCCCACAGCCCCGAAAAGGCAGTGCTCTGCGTGTATCGTCGAGGGGGAGCAGGGAAGAGAGTCACACCGGCGGGTCGGAAGGGAGCCTTTTCTTTTCCTCGGTTGGCATGACCTGGCACAGTGTCAGTGGGCCACATCATTGCTGGGGAGCGCAGCCCAGGACCAGACCCAAATAAGAGAGCGACTGTTGCACCTCTGCTGCAGATGCTGCACGCACACTGAGGTGGCATGAAGGAGCTCTGCACGTCAAGGCGTGAGGGGTTTGCATTTTCCAAAAAGGGGGAGGGATGGCACAACTAACTAAATACATGCCTTTAGGATAACGCTAGAGATTGACGTAAAGGGGGTAGGTTGGGAATGTCAGGCCTAGACTTGGAAATCTGTGCTCTACTAATACCTGGGGATTTTGGACAGCTGGTTGCATTATTGGAGGGACGCATGGTCCAAAATGAAATACAGTCTGACTGAGGGGGCTGCGTTCCAAGGAAAATGCACTAACACGTTGCTGGACCATCACACATGCCATGCCCTTAAACAAACTCACTTGCTTAATCAAGTGGCATGGCCACTGATGGCAGAGCGGGCTGAAGAAAGTCCTGCCATTCCTAACATGCCTTATCGTTCACCTCCCTGAAGCATGGTCATCGTCCGCCTCCATTGCTACACTGCAGTGTAACTCAGCGTACTACTTAGTGACAGATTGCCTACCTGATCTGGATTAAAAATAACCCCCTTCTTTCAGAGTTTTGTTTCTAACCCCATTTGTCTCAATGAGCACTTAATGGCGGGACCTACCAGCCACTTGTACCAGCCAGCTGCGCTCAGAAAAGGGAAAAATGGAGCAGGGGCAGGCTTGGATTTCAGTAACAGGCTCTGCCTCAGGAGCCACCGCCTCATCACACCGCCTCCGAACAGCACACACAGCTTACGCACCGCCGGTAACACACTGCCCGCTGGTCAGGAGGGACCAAAACCACAGCCACCATACGCCATCGCCTTCCTGCAAGCTGCTGAAGCACATCAGAGCTGAGTGCGAAGTTCAAACCGAAGCTGTAACTAGGGCTGTGTTATCACCTCGAGAAGAAACCGGCAATAACGCTGGCGTTAAGGTGTTCTCCGCTCTCTCTGTCCCTCGCTGCTGCACCGTGCCTCCGCCACCGCAAACACCCCTGTGTATGGGGCTGGCATATTACGAACTGGACCAGTAAAATGATACAGCAGGAGAGGCTGGGGTGGGGAATTAGATGTTACAGCGTTTTTTTTGTTTGGTTTGGTTTTTTTTTTTTAAACTGGGTCAGCCCCTTCATCCACTTCAGTGTGGTCACACATCCAGTCATTTCAGCACAAACGAGGAGATTGCCTACCACAACGGAGAGGCGAGAACAAACCGCAGGTGGTATTAGCAGGAATACTGCAGGCTACTGTTTCTGCTGACCTAATGGAAATGTGAGGCCACAGCCTTACATTTCTGAACACAGTCTATTTTAGTGATCTAGACAAAGCCTAGAACATAAAAAAAAAAAAAAAAAAAGCAAGCTGACTTTGGGACTTAAGGCAGTGTCCAAACAAAGAAAGGATTCATAAGGTCACACTTGGATGACCAGATTTCATTGCAAACACATTCATTTCTAATACACTGAAAAAAAATTCACGAGTGCAATAACCCTGTGCTCCACACACGTTTGGCTTGGCTCACACAAACCACATGGAAAAAAATCTAGTACTCCAACCGACCCATTTCCGACTTGCACTCCGCTGCTGCTGCAAGATGGCTCTCTGCCGCACCTTGACGCTCCCCCCACCACCGCCTTCCAATTTTAAATCACTACAGGCGATGTCCTGTGGGAGTCAACTTACGGTATATGACTGTTGTGCAACTTAGGTCTGCCCTGGAGTTACTGCAACCTGCCCACACATCAGTGTTCAGATGGTTTGCATTTTTAAATCAGCATTCTTTGCCCGTCTCAACTGCTTTCATCCCTTTTTATCATTTTCCCTGCTGTGTTTCCCCAGCACTTTTCAACACGTGGCTTCCAAACCACTGTGTAAGTTAGTCTTTGCTCAGTCAGATGTTTCTCCTGATACAGGATCCGCAAAGGAAGCATCTTGCAGAATCTTTTTAACAGGCAAGCTTGCAGGAAGGCAAAACTGTAAAGGAAGAGGTCACCAATATTTTCCATGGAATCACGTAACAAGTCCAAACACAATTTAAACACAATCCATGACAAATTCTCATGCTTTTCTTAATTTTTTCCCAGTTTTGTTGTCTCTTATAACCAGAAGTTGATACGAAACAGAAACGGTTTAGTCTTAATTCAGGTGTGAGACTATGGAAGTTTCTAACTGTCTACAATCATATGTGCTTGGTGCAGCAGAATGCCTGAGCATGAAGAATTAGTCCGGACTCCTAAAATTGATATTCAGGTTACAATCTGTAAAAGGCATAAGTTGCATTATTAATCATTGTTAAATCAAAGCATATTAATTTTTTTCTTCCCCTAACACTTACAAGGTCACAAAAGCACACTTGTATTGGTCAGTGTGCACGTGTGAGTACGCACATGATTACCTTTTTCATGCAGCAAAGAATTATCTGTATAAAACAAAACAAAACAAAAAATCGGCATACAGCAGTGTATTTGTCAACACTGCAAGCAAAAGGAGAGACACCAGTGAGAATAAATCCTAAAACTTTACACATTAACTACTGCAGAAGCTTATCTACAATCCCTTGTTGCAAGTGAGGCCTCAAAAAGGATACTCAAACCTCCTGACGACCAGAGCTATGCAGGCAAGTCTCTGTGCTGCCTTAATGTTTTTTGCTCACAAGAAAAGCCTTGTCCTCTGGCAGTACAGCTGAGCTGGAAGCAAATTCAAGGTCATTACTGTAGTAGTTGCAAGAGGACCCTTACAACCTCACAGGATCTTGAAAGGCTGTTGTGTGGAAAGCTGCAGCCAGTCCAGAGAAATACCAGTTTATCTTATCTCCCTCTGCACTAAACAGCCTCTGCGGCTTCTCACACCTCACAGTTCCCAGTGTTGGGAACGTCTGGGAGGAGAGGGCAGCCCCTCCACACGCCTCCCACCCCCGGCTGGCAGCAGACCCCTTGGTACCACCCGGGGCTGTGCTTGGGCTCCGGCCCTGTGCTCCTGAGGGCAGTGCATCTCAACTGCAAAGAGAAAAACATTGGTGTAGAAAACCAGAAACGATGATCATAACGAACTATACCACCTAAATAAAGAAAAACAGGCAGTTTCATGGGTCCACTGGATGCTTCTGGAGGAAACTTCCAGCTCTCTCATCTATGCTTATCATACAGCTTTCAAGCTGTCAAAGCAATTCTACACAAAGTTTTAAATTATCATTAATGTTGCTCATTGGCTCCAACTTCACCACCCCGGCCATAATAATCCTCTCGACTTAGAAACAAGACCGCTGGAGTTAAAGCTCCTGAGGAATAAGCTTATTCCAGAGGAATAAGCCTGCACCTGGGGAAACCATCCAAGACTTAACCCAACCCAGCTACCCCTGCAGCAGAAGTGATAAAGCGCCTGTGTGCCCCAGCAGCCGATGATGTCCTTTTGCTACATATCTTTTATCTGATGGGCTTTTCCAGTCGTTTACTGATTTAAGCTCTCAGTACCATACGAGATGGGCTTTCGTCTTACCCAGTCAGGTTGTTTGCATGAAAGCCATGGAAGGCATGAAGCAAGGCAGAAATCACTGAAGTGGGCGGAAAGGGGAGACTTATTTGCTCAATTTAAGAAGTACTAGCAGCAGCTATGAAAAAGCAAACCCCAAGGGTATCTTTGAAGCATCCCAGCAAATAAAGCCAACTCCCCAGCGGAAATTAAAGGCCAATTTTCCAAAAGCAGCACCCATTTATGGGAAATTTCATTTCACTATACTAAGATGCAAGAAACCAGTGTGTTCCCCCTCCCCTTACACGGCCCATTGTTTTGCAACAAGGAGCACTTCTAATTTTTCTAAAGTAGGTCTCCTGACTATTTCTTAAATGAGAAGAGATGGATGAGGGAGATTTTTTTTTTTTAATTCCTTTGAAACATTCCTCCCTTTCAACACTGTCTATTGTTAAATTAATTTGTACAGACCCCAGCAGCTCAGAGGTCAGGATGGTTCAAGTTGATGTTCTAAGCTGTGCACTGTTATGTTAAACAGGGTTTTTCTTGGCTGCAGCTTTGCAGCGAGAAGGTCACCCCAGGGTTATGTGGGGTAGCAAATGTTAGCTGTGGGCAACCATTCCCAGAGGGCTGAGAATCAGACCAAGGCTTTATTTGATGGAAAGCTTAGGCGGCCTGAACAGATACCAAATGCTCCTTTAGTTTGCTTCATCTCTTAGTCAGCTAATTCCAAGGTATTAAGAAACCTCTGGCATAGGGCAGGACAGCTGGAGGCTGCATTTCCAGTGTGGGGAAACACTCATCCTCTCTTGTGGGAAGTGCCAAATTG